AGAGAGAGAGAGAGAGAGAGAAAATGAGAAAATATAAATGTGGCCCCATACCCCTGATCAATAAATACTTTTAATATCTTTTTAACGGTTAAATGTGTATACTGCTACAAAATACTATTTTCTCATAGTAATATGCCATAGCAAAGTCTTAGTAGAAAATATCTTTAAGACAAAGAAGTGTCCTAGGAATTAAAAATGAAGTGCAATCTGTGTGATTATATATAACATATTTATTCTGGCATGGAAAAGATACAAATTTCTATGTTTATGAATAATGATGGTCAAATTACAAATGTGAGTACAGGTTTCTATATAAAACAATTTCTCTACATACAAGTCTATAAAATATGTCTATGTACACTGTGTGGTTCACTACTAGTACTGTTTATGTATGCTATTAAATACAGTTTTCTAATTTTAACTACATTTAGTTTTTACCCATGCTTTCTGATAAATCAATCTTAGACAACCACCCTGCTTCACTGCTTGTGCGACACTGTGCTTGCACAGCTCTTGAGGGAGTCTCCTTGCTTCAGGATTCTTTGCAGTGGGAGCTAGCCTAGTTAAATAAAATAGTGAATGAATTTGGGCACTGAGAGGAAGTAGTTTAAACCACAGAAGAGTATAGTTCATTGTAGTTGAGCTGATTTTATTTTAACAGTCTGAAAAACACGGAGCATGCCAATTTAGCTGAAAATGCTCATTAGTTTTTATAAACAGAAAAGTAAGGACACTCATTATTAATGGTATCATCTCCAAATATAATTATGACCACTTAGGTACAAAAAATAATTCTTGCACATTTAATCATATTAAGAGGTTTTAAGTTTAAAAATGATGTTATTGCCTGTGAAATGTTTGAAAATATGTAAAGGAATATGAGTCAAATTCTGTGAGAAAATACCTCTTTGTGAATGTGTAAAATAGAATTAGTGTTGTTAATTAGAAACAGAAGTTGTCCTGCAGAGCTTTCTGGGAAAGTATATAAAGTTGATATATACATTTGCCAGCATTTTCTGCAGCCAGCTCTTTTATCTTCAACGAGAGTCATGCTGATGGCTGCAAATAAGCACTTTATTACAAGTATCTTTGGTTCAAAGCAAAAGGTTTTTTCCATTTCTTATGATTCCACACAGTAACTTGAACACTACTTAAAACAAAAAAATTTACTCATTAATAATTTAAATATTTATAAAATTTCAGCAAAAGCTGCCTTATTATAAAGCATCAAAGCCCATTAACTGTGGTACCCAATTATCTGTGATGATGGGAAAACTAATAAAAAAGAAATTCCTAAAAGCCACGTTCTTGATGTGCACACATTTCCCCAGCCCTAAGAGAACATGAATGCTACTGTTACATGGTAGGACAAACAGATGCTCAGATGTCCCAGGAAGGTCTCTGGATGGCAGTGTCCCTCCACAATGGCACTTTAGTATTAAATGAGGATTAATTCCTCATTTAATTAATTTAAAAATTAAATTAATTTAATTAATTTAGTATTAAATTAAAGGATCAGAAACCTTGCCTAGTGCTGGGTTTCAGAAACAAGAATTTCCATACTAACATAAATCCCACTCTATTTTATAGAGATTGATGCAATACAATCTGTATTTTGAATCTGTAATTTAAGTTCCTTATCAACAAGTTCATAACAATCCTAAAATAACTGGTATAGACTCTCACATCTTCTTAGTGTGGTAACAAATGATTCCATGGGATTAGAAACAGATTCAAATCACCTTCTTTGTTCAGTAGTATTCATTCAGTTGGTCATTTATTTGTACATTTGTCTTAATGGAAATAAACTTCAGAAAAACTTGTATAATCATATAGATATTTCATCACATCAAGTACTATTTTTCAAAATTCCCCTTAAAACATGCAGTATCATCAACTCTAGATACTGGATGTTAAAAAACTTTTCTGAGAAATAAGCCACCATGGTCTCCACCCGTGAAGATCTCTATAAGGGTCCTATAAGACTGTCCCAAGAGTAGAATATCTAACACTAAGAAGCTGATAGAAAATTGAGTTAAGACAGAAATTAAGAAAGATATTAAATTATTTTTAGAATTGTATGAAAATTAAAACACATATACTCAAACTTAGGGGACACAATGAATATAGATCCATTTCTATTACCCTATACAAACTCAAATACAAATGGATTAAGGACCTCAACATTAAACCAGACACCCTGAATCTGATCAAAAGAAAGTGGAGAATAGGCTTGAACTCATTGGCATAGGAAAATACTAAGATATACCTAATTAAAAATAAAAATTACCCAGTTAAAAAGTGGAGTATAGATATAAATAAGGAGTTCTCAAGAGGTGAAACACACGTGGCTAAAATCACTTTTAAAGAGTTCAATACACTGAGCCATTATGGAAATTCAAATTAAAACTACTTTGAGATTTCATCTTATGCTAGTCAGAATGGCCAACATTAACAATATATATGATGGTAGATGCTGGCAAGGATGAAGGGAAAAGGGAACACTTATTCATTGCCAGTGGGAGTGCAAACTTGTAAAGCCACTATGAAAAATCAATGTGGATGTTCCTCAGAAAGCTGAAAATCGATCTACCACAAGATCTAGCTATAGCACTCGTGGGCACATAGCCAAAGAACTCAACACCATAGTACACAAAGGCCTTTTGAAAAGATATATGTGAACCCACTACTATAAAAGTTTCCTAAACTATATACATAAATGAAAGAAATTCAAATGGAGTCATCATATAATGGGGGAGACAAGTGCTCCAACTAGACAGTTTATACCATTAAGTGTTAGTAGAGGCTGTCTGTTCGTTCCTGGTTGCTCAGACCCAAAATAATCACACAGAAACTATATTATTTGCAATAATGTTTGGCCAATAGCTTATGCATATTTCTAGCAAGCTCTTATATCCTAAACTAACCCGTCTCCATTATCTGTGCTTCACCACGAGGTTGTAACCTATCAGCAAAGTTTAGGTGGAGGCATGTGTCTCCACACCTTCTCATTGAGTCCGTCTTCTTTCTCCCAGCATTTATTTTAGTTTTCCCGCCTAACTCTATTCTGCCAAGCCACTGACCTAAAGAGCTTTATTCATTAACTAATAAAAGCAACACATATACAGAAGGACTTCCCACACCAACTAAGTAAAACCACCCTGTTCCAGATTACATCTTGTTGAGTTATTGACTGAAGGAGTCCCATAATATCCTCTCCCAAACATCACAGGCTATTGCCAACCTGCTGGTTACCTTCAACAATCAGACAGTAAAGCCCCACTGCTCAAGACAATACCTACTTATGTCATGAACGTGGAGAAATTGAGCTGGTTCTCTACTAGAGGCTTCACTCATATTGACAAGCATTCCTGGAAGTACAGTGCTGGAAGGTACGCCTAATGCTACTGGAGGAGAAAAATAATTCCACCTAGCTGCAATGACTTTAGATTGAGGCTTATTGTACCTAGTTTATATATCAATTTCTTCTTTGTAACCTAAATACTCTACAGAAAACAAGTGGAGGGAAACTTAGTATTTACTTAAGTGGTTCAGTCATCTTACTTAAGTATTTCAGTCATCTATTTTATATATACACATATATATTTAGAGAGAGGGGGGGGAGAGGGACAAAAATACCTTGGTATGAAAAGGAGGAATTTAGTCACAAGGAAGAGTTTCATATGGCTTGAGGCAAGAACATTTGCCTATCAAATAGACTAGGAGGGAAGGACCTGGCCACAGGTCACCTATACAGGTGGGTAAGCAAGTACCTTTTGAATCCAGGAAGGTGACACTAGGTAACATGGCTTAAATAAACAAAGTGGCATTTGAACGGATTCTTAAATGGTGAGTATAATTTGAATAGGAAAGAATACTGGGAATTATGCTACCTAAACTGGTAGAAAAAGTTGAGGACAGAGATAATTAATATAGATTTAAAAGTGAAACTGAAAGGTGATTGTACAAGATATAAAAAGAGAACTAGGTTAAAGAGTGTTAGATTGAAGGGACAGAGCTGACTCCAGCATGAGGACGAACACTGCCTTTGTTAGTAAAAATTAAAAAAATGGTTCTTACAATAGGTGTGAAATTATTTATATATAGTTAAATGAATATAGTAAGAAACACCAAATCTAAAATGTCAGACAATTCTGCCTTGGTTTATCCAAGACTGAAAACTCTTTAAGTAAAAGCCAATGACATATATATAAATAAACCATGGTGATTTGCTGTTACCTCTTCCTATTTTTCATATTATATATAAAAACCAGATGATACAATTAAAGAGATGCAAGAAGGGATAAGGTTTCCAGGTCATTACTAGCTTGATTTCTCCATGTTCTATGACTTAAATACGAGTTGTCTTCAGCTGAATTCACACACTAACATTACAAAGCCACAGGGAAGTAAGTAACCAGGAGCATATTCGCCAGAAGAAATAACAGCAGAATTAGAACTCCATTAATATTAACTATTACAATAAGTATCCAACATAAAAATTATAAAATCAGAAAACTGAAATAGGACCATAAAAAGATTTATTTAAAACAAACCAAACATAATTTAGGATAATAAAATAAATAATTCTTTAGATAAACACCAAGCATGAAAGAGATATTTATTTAAAACAAGATTTTTAAACAACTGTGGATATTATTATAAATTACTAGATGATGAATCAATTTTCTTAATTTTGATTAAGTGTGATAAATGGAATTGTAGCTATTTATGATGTCATTTGTACATTCTAAAATATAATACTTACAATGGGTTTTAAAATATATCATCAAAGGAAAAAAAAGAATTAATGAAGTCAATGTAGGAAAATGTGGAAAACATTAAATATGAGTGATACGAAGTTGGAAAAATAAAAATAAAATAAAAACTCACTGGATAGTTAAATAAAACCAAAGAGACACTGAGTATGGGAAGATGGTTCTAAGATGAGTATCCATAGTGAACATAAAACCTTCACCAACAAGCAAAACAAAGCTCACCTTCCTTTGGGCTGACAGCAGCAGGAAGGCTTTTCCAGTCAAGGGTCCAAGAAGGACAAGGGTGCGGAGAAAACACTGCTTCAATGCCTTTTTCCTAAAAAAGGAAGAAAGCTTTCCAAATTGGTTCTTAATAAAATCTCTTTTCAAAGGCAACATTTCTATTTCCTGCACTGACAATGATAATTAAAATTAATCATATGTCTACCAAAATATTTAGTTCCATGAGAAAATACAAAATGGTATTAAAAAACATAAAATGTCTGTTCAAAATATTATTTTGAAATCAGTATATTGCTATTATTTTTTATTTGAAGTAATAAAAAGTAATGCTGAAAACATGTAAAAGTAGTAAGTAAAGAAATATAATAGGTCAGGAATAGATAAACAGCTCGGGAGTAAAAAGCATTAGTTACTCTTTCAGAGGTCCTGGATTTGGTTCTGAACACCCACATGGTGGCTCATAACCATCCTTAACACTACTTACAGGGACGCCGATGTCTTCTGAATTCCTCTTTTACCAAGGAAGTATGTGGTGCACATACAAATAGACACATATATTCAAAACACCATACACATCCATCTCAAAGCAATCAATAACCAACCAAACACTGTAAATGTTTATTTGTTCTATAGACAGTGGCATGACACATATTCAGATTTATATTATTCCAGTCACAAAATGTACCACATCCTACAACATAGACGATCACTGTTCAGATATTATCATCTCTAGGAAGCCTATAAAAGAAAATGTAGCACCAGGGATGGTAGTATTCATCTCTAAGTCTCAACACTAAAAAGTCTGAGAAAGAATAGCTTCAGCCCACAAGTGAGGCCAGAGCAGTCAACATTAAGAACCCTCACCTTTCTCAAGAGAAAACAAAACATAACAAGTAAAATACAATAAAAATTAATGATGATTCACCTTTAACTATCTAGTAACAGCCATTCATGAGATTACTTTCCATTTTGAAAACTAAATTGAATTTGGGTCCCAAAAGAAAAAGAGAATAATCATTTTCCTAGAGATACAGATATAACAATAGACCTAGAAATCGAGTACTAGTTTCTAGAAGAATAAACAACACATCTCTCTGAGATCACCTATCTCATTTCTATTACCTTTACTCTGATTTTGGTATTACTCATTTCCAATCTTATTCCTGCTTTAGGGTCTTTCTAAAAAGCTACAACTATATTGAGATACTACTTGTACATGCCTAGTACTGTAAACACAGCCAACTACCTATGTCTGCTGATGTCATGGACCCTAAGGAGAACCCACTACTGCCTAACTCAATTTTAAATACTTAACCTTAAACCCACAGATAAGGTTAGCCTCACCCCAATCAAAAATGCTTCCGTTTGCAGCAATGAAAACTACTGCAGAAATCCGCAAATGGTCAAAATGCAAAGAGTAAGAAAGAGTACGTTATGTGCCAAGCCCAGTTGATACAACTACAACACAAGGCTTAAGGCTCAGGTAGCATTGCAGAAGGTACAGATTATAACATCCAGGGGACTAGCATGTTTTCTTCAAAATAATGTCTTCAATATATAGCAAAGAAACTGCTCCCATGAAATTATCATGCCAACTTCAGATTGGGAAAATACTACACGGCACTATCACTAGATGAAAACCTATAGGCAGTTACAGCTACTGAGAGAGAACCAGTCTGCCTCAGGAAGGTAAGTTAGCCAGTCCCAGGTGGACACCCTTAAGTATAGATAAATACAAGCAACACTAAGTGGATTCAGTGGAGTTTTTGTTTGTTTGTTTTGTTTTGGGATTTGTGCGTGCGTGTGTGCATGTGTGTGTGTGCGTGTGTCGGTATGTATGTATGTAATGAGAATAATTAAAGAAAAGGCCATGAATTTGAGAGGTGAAGTGACACAAAAAAGTTGGAGAAGAAACAGGGAAAGTAGAAATGATATAAATACAGTACTCATGTACAAAACCCTCAGGATTGAAGTTAAAAATATTGAAATCATGACACTTGTATGAAAAATAGATGGAGATTATCATGTTAATCTAAATAAACCAGACTAATAAACATTAATTCAATAAGTAACTAAAATAAAATAAAGACTAAAATCAAGGCTCTGTAAAACAGCAAGTTTAGGTTAAAATGATATACCTGACCAGATATGGTTACATTGGTCTACAATGTGAATATTTAAAAATGCCTTAATAAAGAATACTACTTTTAAACTATGTATTTTTGCCTTGGTTCCAAAGACGAACAGCATAAAAACTATTCAATTAATTGAGGTTTATCTGAACATAAACCTAGCAGAAACATTATTTGGTAAATAAAGATATGAATAGCTATATGAAAAATGTATAATAGATAACATGAGAAAATGATTAATAGTTGAGAAAGAATGCTCAAAGGGATTAAAAAAAAAACAAGCTAAATACCATTAACTTGGTCATAGTTGGTCTTGGTCCTCCTGTAAATAAAGGATCATTTTGTTCCTCTACGGCTACCACTTCATTAGAGTTCAGGTGTGATTTACTTGCAGAATTCAGCAATTCAGGCAAACACAGAAAGTGGATCCCACACTTAGAAGCTGCTGTTTTTACTTTTGGCACTTCCTGAATCCTCTGATACCAAGAGGCTAGCAGTGGAAACTGTTCCAGCTTCTCAGAAGACTTCTTGCAGATAATTACCTGGAGAAGAAAAAGGATGTTTTAAAATATGTATTTTTGACTGTTTATATCAGTAGTAATGAAGTACTGTATGTCATAAAACTCACCATCTCAAAGGCAACATTCAAACGAACTTCAGGAAATTCAAACGACTGTGAAACTACCACCCCAATCCAGTTCTATGACCCCATAACACTTCAAGAATCTGCAGCAACTTTCTGCACTCATAACCAGTTACAGGTAGCCAGTGGCTGATTTTCAATGTTTATAATGTTGCCTCTCATACAAGTAAATAGAATAAAAAAAAGTACTTGTCTTTTTTCACTTAGCATTACGTTTCCAACACTCACTCACATTTGTACTCATATCAGTACTGTGCTTTCTTTGTTAGCAGTAAGTCATCATTGTGAAGAGCCGGCCTACTATACTCACCTGATAACTCAGTAGCTGACGGACACTGGCATGTTTCTAGGTATTCGCTATCATAAGGAGAACTGGTAGACTGAAACTACTGAATTATTCTCCATGGTGGACATACCATTTTATATCCTCACTGTGGAGATTCCCATTACTCTACATATGTGTTATTTTTATTTATTTTCAGTTTTTCTGTATAATGTCTTAATGATATATGTGTGTAAGTACAGGCACTTAATCGTTACCTACAGTAGGTATTTGGAGGTCAAAGGACAAACACAGAAAAATACTATTTCTCTTTCATAAGCTTATAACTCCCAATTAATGAAAACCAAAGATAGTGAGATTACTCAAATATAATAAATTTCCATGTCCCGCATTAAAAAGGAACCAATGACCATGCAGAGAACTCAAATAAGCAGATGAACAAGGCAAGAAAATCAATTCAGGATTTAGACAAGAATGTAATTAAAGTAAATAAAAAGGTTAGTAACTTAGAGAAGAAATTTAAAAACAATAGAGGGGAAAAACAGTAAGGAAATTGAGACTCTGAAGAAGAACTAAATTTTTGAAATAAAAAGATCAATTTATCAAATAAAAACACAATAGAAAGCTTCTTCTTTGGGGGCTAATAAATTAGTTTAGTGAATAAAGTGCTTGATACACAAGCCACGGACAACAATAAAAAGAAACAAGACTAAGTAAGAGAACAAATTTCAGAGACAGAGAGTAAGTCATGAAAATAATAAATTCAGATGTACAGATGTTACCAAAACTTTCAAGGTACATTCATGAGACCAAACCCAAGAATAAAGATGGTAAAAGAAGAGACAGAGATAAAATATAAATGCACAAGCAATTTATCCAACAAAATTGAAACAGACAGACACAAGAAAGGGATAGACATCCAAATTGAGAGGTATTTATAACTCCTTAATAGTTATGGCCAGAAAAGAATCTCTACATAACATATCATAGTTAAGATGTCCAAAGATGCAAAGCAAAGAATCAATGCTAAAAGCGGTAAGGGAAAAAATGCCAACTCACATACAGAGGCAGAAACATCAGAAAAATGAGCAATTCTAAATGCCAAGAAAGCATGGAATGATCTATTTCAAGCCCCAAAAGTAAATCAACCAGAAATTCTATAAATAAAAAGATTATCTTTTCAAATGGAGGGAGAAATAAAAGAAGTTCAAAAAAAGCACAAATTGAAGCAATTCATGTCAACGACACCAACACTGGAGAAAATTTTCTAAGTAACACTATAAACAGAAGAGAAAGAAAAGACAATTTCACATAAAAGATGTAGGGAAGAACACATTCCATGAAAGAAGCAGAAGAATGAAGAATTGTAAGAAATTAATTGTGTCGAACATAGCAAACTCTTATTCAAAGCAGGAGAAAAGAAAACAAGTACTCACAATTCAACCAACCAGAGCCAACAAACCACATCATAGAAAGTAACAAATCTGGGCTGGAGAAATGGCTCAGTGGGTAAAAGTACTGGCAGTTCTTCTAGGGACCTGGGTTTAGTTCCTAGTACCCAAATGGCAGCTCACAATTGTCTGTAACTCCAGTACCAGGATAATTGATACGTTCACACCAATGCACATAAAGTTAAATAAATTTTAAAAAGTAACAAATGTCAATAATGGCTTTATTTTCAAATGGATTCACTAGTTAAAAGATACAGACTGGATTTAAAATAAACAAACAAAACAGTATTCAACTGTTTTCTTTTTTTCTAAGAAATACACTTAGCTGCAAAAATGTCCAAAAATGAGTCAAAGGATGCAAATAAACCTCTAAGCAATTAAAAGCAGTAAGCAAGCTTATGAAAGGATTTTCATAATGTAGATTTCAAAGCAAAACTAGCAGAAGAGATAAAGAGGACAACTACAGGATAATAAAGGGGACAATTCATCAAGACAACAGAACAATTCTAAGTATTTTTGGTACTGAATCTTAGAGCTTTCAGTTTCATAAAACAATGAAGGGCACAAAAGGTCACAAAGGTCCTCATATAACAATAGCAAGAGACTTCAATATCCCACTCATATTTAGAAAGCTATTCCAAACTAATAATCAGCAAAGAAATACTAAATCTAAATTATACCATAGATCAACTGATTTCAACAGATATCTACAAAATATTACATCTAACAAATGGGGATCAACATCTTTTCAGGGGTGCATGTAACCTACTCTTAAATTGATCACATTATAGAACACAAAGCAAGATTCCACAAATACAATAAAAAATGTATCTTTATCAGATCATGGTGAAATAAAACAGGAAAGCAAGTACAAAAGAAATCTCAGAAACTATAGAAAAAAATGGGCACTAAACAATACACATTTGAATGAACAGGGCCATTGAGGAAATCTGGAAATATATTTTAAAAAAGTAGGATCAAATGAAAACACAGCACATTCAGCCAGAATCTCCTGTGGTGTAGTAGGTCCTTCTGTATTTGTGTTTCTTTCACTGGTTAATAAAGAAACTGCTTTGGGCCTGGTATAGGACAGAACTTAGGTAGGAGGGGAGACAGAATTGAATTCGGGGAGGAAGAAAGCACAGTCAGAGAGAGAGCCGCCATGGAGACGCCAGGTCAGACATGCTAGATCTTTCCCAGTAAGCCGCGACCTTGTGGTGAACACAGATTAATAGAAATGGGTTAAATCAAGATGTGAGAGTTAGTCAATAGGAGACTAGAGCTAATGGCCAACCAGTGTTTTAGTTTCTGTGTGATTATTTTGGGTGTAAGCTAGCCAGGTGGCCGAAGCAAGAGGCCCCTCTCTCCTTGTAACACTCCTGAGATTTTTCCTAAAAGGAAAGCTTATAGCTCATTAGCCAAAGAAATCTCAGAAACCCTAATCATCCAACTCAAGATTCTAGAAAAAGAAAAAGCCAAACGAAAATGCACTAGATGGTTCTTAAAAGGTTATCAAGATGAACAAACCCTTAGCCAAATTAGTCAGAAGAGAGACCAACACAATAACATAAGAGGTGAAAGCGGAGCTATAAGAACAGGATCAAAGTCAGGTGGTGGCGGTGCACACTTTTAATCCCAGCACTTGTGAGGCAGAAGCAGGTGGATCTCTGTGAGTTTGAGGCCAGCCTGTTCTACAAGAACTAGTTCCTGAACAGTTAAGACTATTACACAGAGAAACCCTTTCTTGAAGAAAACAAAACCAAAACAAACAAACAAAAAGAACAAGATCCAACAATCCTCCAACTTAGATGATCATTAAGGAATAGTGTGAAAATGTATCTTTCAAAAAGCTAGGAAATCTAGAAGAAATAGTTTTCTATACTCATATGAATATCAAAATTAAATATGAAAGATAGACACAATTTTACAATATCAAAGCAAGCAATGGCGTTAAAACAGTATCTTTTTCTATTGCTGTGATAAAACATTATGATCAAGGTAACTTAGAAAACATTTAGTTTTGCTTACGGTTTTGGGGGTTAGAGACCATGATGACAGTGCAAAGGCATAGCAGCAGGAACAGCTGGAACAGCAGCTGAGGGCTCACATCTTGACCAGCAAGTAGAAAGCAGAGAGAAAGAGAGAGAGCAGGCACTGGAAATTGTGCAAGTCTTTTGAAAACTCAAAACCCACCCCTACTGACACATACCTCCTCTAACAAGGCCACACCACCTGACCATTCACAAACAGTTCTAACAACTGGAGACCAAAATTTCAAATATATGAGTCTCTGGGAGCCATCCTCATTCAAACCACCACAAACAGTACTGAAAAGTATCCCCCAAAAGAACAGCTTTACATAAGATGGATTTACTGATGAATTCTACCCAATTTTAAGGATGATCTAATATTTTTCAATTTGTGCCATAATGTACAAAAGGGAAGAATGTTACAAAGGCAGTTTTAATCAGATATCAAAACTGAATAAAGATCCAATAGAAAAAAGAAAACTATAGACAAATTTCTCTTATAAACATAGATGCAAAATTCCTCAGTATGCCTGCAAGTTTAATTTGAGAATTTAGTAAGACCACACATCATGACAGGCTGGTTTCATCTCAAGAATGCAAAGTTGTCTCAACATATAAAGAGCAGTAAATATAGTAGGCCATTAAAATATAATTTAAAAGGAAATTATATGATCATCTTACTATATACGGCAAACTATATATGGCAAACCCATAGGCAACATTGCAGTAATTCAGGAAAGATAGAGGACATTTCCTATAGAATCTGGAGTGAAACAAGGGTGCCAACTCTCTCCACTCTTATTCAATATAGTACCTGAAGTCTTAACTTCAACACTAAGACCAAAAAGGTATATAATCAGGATATAAATAGGAAAAGAAGAAGTCAAATTACCCTTATTTATATACATGACTCTATTTAAAAAATTCTATGGACTTCTCCAGGAAACTTTTATATCTGATATACATTTTTGGAAATGTTGTAGAATACAAAATCAACACGCAAAAATCAGTTACTTGTTATATACTAATAAGAAACTTAAAAAAGAAATTAGGGAAAATATCCCATTCCCAAGAAATTAAATTTTATTAAAAATAAAAGAAAACAAGGACTTTCACTAAGACAGTGAAAGACCTA